TCCTCGGAAGGAAGGTTGGGCAATCCTACTTCCATAGTGATACTGCCTCGGAAACCCAAGGAGGGGTTGCTATGAGTCGGGGCCGACTCGACGGCACATAACAACAACAACAACATATAATGATAACATTAAGGAAACAAAATGATAACATTTTTTTAAACATACAATGATTTACACTGAGAAAATTATATTTAAACATATAATGATAACATTAAGAAAACAAAGATTCACAAAACATAAAAGGTAATCATAGTTATCAAAACCTGTTATAAGTGTATTGATACAAACTGTACTGAATGCAATCTATTCTCTCTCTCTCCTTACAATATTATAAATTAAGAGAAGTAAAATTAATCATAACTTAATTATACCTCAAAATTCTGTTCCATTATGTTTCCCCCTTTACTCAAACTCTCCATGATGGCCTTATTTCGAAGAATATCTTCTTCACTGAGGTGTTCTCTTCTTTTCCTTGATTCTAAAACAAGTCCATTCACCAGATAAAAGTCTGCCAAAAAGTTTCCTACTCTTTCCTAAAACAAAATCAAGTATGTCAAAACAATAAAATTTATAAATTTTCCCTTAGATTAAAAAAAAAAGTTTCAACGTAAAATATTTTTCCATAAACATTAACATTTAGTTAAAAAGAAATATCTATCCCTTTGTTATCAAATATATCTATATACATATAGATACATAGATGTAGGCAGATATATATGTATACATATCTATATGTACATACATATTTATAATTCATATTTTAAATGCACAAAGAAGTATGATAATTAACAGCAAGTGAGTTGAAGCTAAACAAAAACATCACACAGTATTCCTTCAGAATCTTTTCTCAAATAGCACAAATATTAAGTGATAGTCAAATATTAAGCTGATAGTTAAATATGAGTAATAAGGAGGGGTCAGGGATAATTACTGTTCCCATTTTATAGATAGAAAAAATATATGGAATAAAAATAAGTAAACTGCCCAAGTTACATAGGAATATCTAAACCAACTGCAAATAATTACCTGTTCCAATACTCTTAAGTCTCTAACAGGACCAAAGTTCAAGCTACAGATGCTTGCTGCATTCAACAAAGAAGGCAAAACAGGAGAGCAGTCTTACCAATATCATTAACTGTTTAAATGTATGGATAAGGATAATGGGGGGAACCCAAGTGGTATAAAGGATATCAAGAAAAGCTGTTTTCTTTCAATAAAGTCCTCCTAATCCCTCAACACTAACCTCTACCCTTTTTCAGACCTACAGGTAGTAAGAGTTTGAAATACTTCACTAAAAGAAAAAAAATATACATATCTATATATATATCTATATATATATCTATATATATATATAGATATATATATCAATAATTTAACTGAAAAGCAGTTTTCCATCTCTACCTGTCTGCAAATCACTTGATTATTATCCTGCTGTTGTTTTCCGGCATTTCAAAACTACGTATTTAGAGTTGTTTCCATGTTTACGTTGTTTTCAGTGGCCTCTCTTACAGCTCACCAGAAACTAAAACATTTTTTACCTGTTTCTACCTACAAAATGGGAACCATAAGCATTACTGACTCCCTCCTTACCTGTCAAAGATTTAAGAAGATCACCTAGATGCTGTTCAAGAGCTTTAAGCTGCTTAGCAGTAGCACTAGAAGAATAGCAGTTTCAATTTTTATCTTCTCTCGAAGTGATCCATCTAATGCTGTCCAGAAGAACAGAGTACAAACAATTAAGACTTCAAAGGCAACAAATGGACTGCAGTGTAGGATCTCACAACTGGGAATCCTATAATGCCATTTGTTGCCAAATAAGCTTAGAGAGGAAATTTAATGAGCCTAAATCCTATAGTCAGAATTTTTCTGTGGCTAGGAGATATTGGGTGATAATTCTGAATTTCAAAGACTTTATAATGAAAAAACATTAAGAAAAAACTATCATAAAAATTAAAATTTTAACTGTGTATTCTCCATGAGCAAGTCACTCCATTTCTTGCTACTTACTAATCACAGATATCTCATGCAAAGGCATGTAAAAGGATGGTAAACACAACATTACTTCTAATGGCAAAAAAATGGATATATTCTAAATGTCCACAATAGGAGACTAGATGAAAAAATAACAGTATAACTATCCCATGGAATACTATGTCATTGCTAAAAAGAATAAAGTAACTGTATTATGTACTGTAAGAAAGACTTCTAAGACATACTAAAGCGGGGGGCGGGGGGGAGACAGTTGTAAAGTATTAGATTAAAAGATGATGCTATTTACGAAAAAATAAAAAACAACAAAAAGCTACATATTACTATGGATACATATTTATGCTTATAAATTATACAAACAGTCTGGAGGATATACAAAAACTGATAACTCTGTGGGAGGGGCATTAGGATTATGGGCAGTAGTCAAGGGGTACTTTTTAGTTTTATTTGTAAGTTTATTTTTTCAATGGTAATGTATTTATGTCTATTATGTACATTAAAAGGAGCTCTGGTGGCACTGTGGTTAAAGCATTGAGCTGCTAACCAAAAGGCTGGCTGTTCAAACCCACCAGCCACTCTGCAGGAGAAAGAGAAGGCAGTCTGCTTCCAAACATTTTTAGCCTTGGAAAACCTATGAGGATCCTCATGAGTTGGAATCAACTTGATGGCAGTAGGTTTGGTTTTTTGGTGTTTGTATAAAAAATAAACATAATTTTTTAAACCAATAAATACTGATCTTATCTGATATGGTTACTTATTCTTGACTTTAAAATTCTATAAAAATGTTTCCTTCATACATACAATTCAGAATACTTGACTGTATTTTAGAATGTATTTTATTCTTATATAACCTACTAAAAGACGAAATGGGAATTATGGAAAGATTTTACAATTCACTAATGGTGAAACCTCCACTGAGATTTAATTTGACAGTGTCCTGGAAATGTACAGTTATTTAATCTGAGTCATATACACAGGATACTGACAAACAGATACCGAGTAAATAAATGGCTTAGAAGTCGAAAAGGAGAAATACAAAAAGGTCCAGGGAAATAAATTTAACTGCATTCCTCTTTGGGTCTTGTATAGAACATTAGAACTGTAATGTGAAGACACTCTTTCCTGTTAAACAAGACAACTGACAAGAATTCTTCTCAGTAAAAATTCCTAAGACCTAAATGTTCTCCCCCGCCTTCTCTAAGAACATATCCAAACTCTGTACTAACCATTATAACTCCCTATATGAATTATGATTATAATCCAAGGAAGAGAGGATAAACTACTTGAAAACAAGTCAGTGAGCTGCTGCTTCTAACATTTTCATCACATTATTTGGTGACATTAAATACTAAATACTAAAGAAATTTCTAAGTTTTAAAATACAGATTTGCACATACTGTTTTATCTTCCCGAAAAAGCCATCCTGTTTGGGCACGTGTGAAAGAAATCGATTTGGTTGATAAAGTTGCAGAGTAAATATCACTGCTCATTAAAATGTCAACCTCTTCTTCTGTTTCCATCTCTGATTCCTGGGGTGGGGATGGGAACAAAAATTAAATATATGAATCTAGGTTTTTCATATTATATATGAAAACATCAACAATCAAAATGTTATATATTTTTTTTAAAAAAAGGTCAGATTCTAAATAACATGAAATGCTACTTTAAAAATAAATGCAGAAATGTAACTTCATATATCTAATATTTTCTCAAATAAACTAAAATTATAATTTATTTACTTTCAAAATCTATAAAGCAGGACACATGAAATACAAAACTCTTATACTGTACAGATACGTAATGGAAACAATGCTAGGTTATCCATTATAGAAATATGTAGACTTTAAAGATTACTTTAAAAATTAAGTAGACAGACCTGGGGCAAAATATCTACCTATATGGGAGTTGTTTTTCTGTTCTGTTTTGAATAATAGATGATCTTCCTTTAGCTCTTTCAAATCCAAATAACCATTATTACCATATAAACCTTTCTTTCCCAGTAAGTTAAGAGTGAAAAAAGAGGAAGGGGAGCAGAGAAGAGGGATGAGGGAGGGAGGGAAGGGGAAAGATTTTCTTTACAGGCACTCAGCAGTTATGAAGGTCTGACTAAGGGACAGACTAAACCATACTTGCCGTTTAAGGTTATACTAATTTTCCCCTCACTTTGAAATGATTACGCCAATTCCTGTTGTTGTTGTTAGGTGTCACAGTGTCAGTTCTGACTCTAGCAACCCTATGTACAACAGAAAGAAAGACTGCACTGTCCTGCACTATCCTCACAATCACTGCCACGCTTGTGCCTATTGTCACAGCCACTGTGTCAATCCATCTTCTTGAAGATCTTCCCCTTTTTCACTGACCCTCTACTTTACCAAGCATGATATCCTTCTCCAGGGATTGGCCCCTTCTGCCAACATGACCAAAGTACGAGAGATGAAGTCTGGCCATTCTTGCTTCTAAGGGGCATTCCAGCTGTACTTCCTCCAAGACATATTTGTTCATTCTTCTAGTAGTCTATGGTACGTTCAATATTCTTCACCAACATCACAATTCAAATGCATCAATTCTTCTGTGGTCTTCCTTATTCATTGTCCAGTTCTATCATACATATGAGACTACTGAAACTACCATGGCTTGGGTTAAGTGAACCTTAGTCTTCAAAGTGACATCTTTTCTCTTTAACATTTTAAAGAGGTCTTTTGCAGTAGATTTGCCCAATGCAATACATCATTTGATTTCTTGACCACTGTTTCCACGAGCCTTGATTATGGATCCAAGCAAAATGAAATCCTTGACAACTTCAGTCTTCTCTCCTTTCTTCATGATGTTGCTTATTGGTCAAGTGGTCAGGATTTTTGTTTTCTTTATGTTGAGGTGTAATCCATACTCAAGGCTGTAGTCTTTGATCTTCATCACTAAGTGCTTCAAATTCTTTTCATTTTCAGCAAGCAAGGTTGTATCATGCTCACAATTACCTTTGCTTACTGTACACACAACTTACAAATCACTGAAAAGGCTTTGAGCCTTTCCTTGCTCTAGAAGCTCACTCACTGCCATGGAGTTGATTCTGACTCATAGTGACTCCCAGTGGGTTTCTGAGGCTATAAATCTTTACGGAATTAGGCTGCCCCATCTTCCTTCCACGGATCAGCTGGTGGGTTTGAACCTCTAACCTCCTGTTAGCAGCCAAATGCCTTATTCACGACTCTATCAGAGCTCCTTTCCTTGCACTAAAGTAAGGCTAATAAGAACTTAAAGATTTGAAACAATTAGGAATGGATCTCATTTGCAACCCAGGGACTAGGTATATATTGCTTATAGAAAGAAAAGAAATATCAACCCACCTTTTCTAAACTTCAACAGCAACCTTATTTCATTATGTTTACTCTCTATGTATCCCTTTAGTGTTGGCATAGAAAAACTGATCAATAATTATTTGCCAAATGAGAGAAGGAAAAAAAAAGAAAAGAAAAAAGCAGCTTTGTGCTTACTTCAAGGACAGAAGAATAAATGACCATGCACAGAAAGATAATGTGAACAGGTATAAGACTAGTTCTATTTTGTAATAGCCAAGAGGGATACTCTCATTAATATTTAGGATGCTGCAAGTGAGTAAAAAAAGGGAGAATCTGGAGAGTTGACTGGAAAGTAAGAACTGTCCACAGGGCTTACACAATAGCTAAAGGCTCTATCTCCCATCACTTTTTATTATTCACCACCAAACTTTCACTCAGATATAGTCCCTCTCTGAACCTATGAATCTACAGAAAACAGCAAAGGCTTGGGACTGAAACATTTCCTCTACTACTACAAGTGACAGATGGAAAATCCTGGCATTCCTAAGGCTCTAATGGGTTAAAATGTATTCCTGATAACCTAAACTAATTCTGAACACAGTTTTCAAAAGAAAAACAATGGCTAAATTAGGTTGTATGGATTATTAAAAACCATACTTCAAATATATTACAAATCAACTAGGATTTATGGATTAGCTTGAGAACTAAACACTTCATATAATACTATGTATGAATAAGTTAGCCTTAAATTCCAAATACCCTACTGTCAAATATACTTTTGGTACAGAACTCTTCTATAAATCAGAGACTGACAACATCAAAAAAGATCTGCTGTAGGTGCACTCATCAAAACACATGCACTCAAGTTATCATTTACATATACATTAGGATAAATAGCAAGTATTCCCTGCCTTAAAGATTACTGTTCAAAATCTAACTTCTTTGTACCTTAGACATTACAAAACACATACACATAACTACCATAAATATCAGTACTTTGGTGACCTCATCAATACCAAACATCAGCTAATACTTACACTACCCACGGCTGTCAAGTCGGATCCAACTCATAGCAACACTTCCTTGGGTTTCCGAGGCAGTATCACTATGGAAGTAGATTGCCCAACCTTCCTTCCAAGGAGTGGCTGGTGGGTTTGAACTGCCAGACTTCTGGTTAACAGTCAAATGCCTTAGGCGCTACGCCACCAGAGCTCCTAATACTTATACTCTGGTTTTTCTTTCAATACCATATTTCCAACTCACCTGTTCCCTAGTTAATTTGTTATCATTTAATATGCAATAGGTCAAATTATTTAGTAAGATCTCAGAGTCTAGAACAGGGGTCAGTAAACTACGGGCAGCAGGCCAAATCTAGACCATTGCCTGTTTTCATAAATAAAATTTTATGGGAATATAGCCATGCTCATTCATCTGCGTGTTGTCTATGGCTATGTTTATTCTAAAAACAACAGGGTGTAGTAGTTGTGACAAAGAATATGGTCTGCAAGTATCTCCAAATATCTAAATGATTTACTGTATCCCTTTACAGAAAGTTTGTTGATCCCTGATCTAGAATGTGCTGCTGTTGTACTAGGTACTGAACAGCATATAACTAAAAGAACTCCATACCCTTGAGGAGCTTCGTCTAGCAGAAGGAGAAACCATATAAATAAATGTAACTTTAAAAGCTCCATGGATCCAGATTTTGTAGGAGCATAAAAATGAAATGGTCACTTTTACCTGAAAAGGGAGGAAATATAAGTACCCAACAGATAGGAGGGTATCAAGAACTTTCTAGGAAGTAGAAAAAGCAGACAGGAATGAGGCCCTAAATAGGTTGGCAAATGTGACAAACTGCTGCGAGTTCAGTATAAAACCAAAAAAACCAAACTCACTGCTATCAAATCAGTTCTGACTCCTAGTGACCCCCACTGGGTTTCCAAGGCAGTAAATCTTTACCGAAGTAGATAGCCCCATCTTCCTTCCACAGAGTGGCTGGTGAGTCTGAACTGCCAACCTTCTGGTTAGCAGTCAAATGCCTTAGGCACTATGCCACCAAAGCTCCTTGGAGTTCAGTACAAGGGTATCTAAAATAGCAAGGTAAGAAAAAAGCTGGAAAAATGAGCAAAAGCCAGGTCCCAAAAAGAACCATGCAGGGCACGATAAGGAGTTTGGATTTTACCCTTTAGGCTTTTAAAGTATCTTTAAGTAAAGGCTTCAGTAAGAGTTGGTTTTTAAGTTTAATCTAGCACTAATCTGTAGAGTAATTAGGAAGCAAACAAGAAGGGGGTGAGAAAGATCATTTATGAGATTTATGCAATAATCCAGTTGAAAGAGAATAGACACCTAAATTATGGCAGTAACAGTGAGAACAAACAATGGCAATTGTAAGACATTAAGGAAACAAATTACCAGACATGTTCTCTAGTCAGGAAACATGGAGTACAACAAAGTATGTCACAAATACTTCCTTGTTTTCTGGCTGAACAAAGAATGATGTCATTCTCAAAAAGAGAGAGAACAGAAAAAAGAGCAGGTTTGTGGGGAAAAAACAATGAGTTTAGTTTTAAACAAGCTGAATTTTCACATATTTATAAATAAATAGGTCTCCTCCCAAAAGAACGATCTGCTATGCAAATATATACTTGTGAATCATCGACATAAAGGAGGTAGTTAAAGCTAGAGAATGGAAGAGATTATTCTGGAAGTCTGTAAAATGAGAATCACGTCAAGGACACATCACTATTTAAGAACTGGGTAGGGAGAAAAAAAAAGTAAAGGAGAATTGAGGAGGAGAGATGGTAAGAGAACAACAGTTGGTCAATGTGAAATCGAAAGAAAACAAAAATTTTTTAAATTGAGTTATGAATAATAGTAAATACTACAGATATGTCTTCTAAAGGCAGATTGAATTAAATAGAATGATTTTAACAATGGACTCAAAATGACCATCATCTAAAACCCCAAGCCTCATTCCTTTTCCAAGTGTCACAGTTCTATCGGAGACATCACCATTACTCCACTCTCCAAACTAGAATCACTAAACTCACTCCTAAGTCTTTATTCTTCTTAATTCATTATGTTCAAATTATCAGCAAGTTCTGTTCTTTCATTCTTAAGGAACTTTTATAATTTTCCTTTCTTCTTTATTCACTACACCATCCTAGTAAAGATCCTCATAACCTCTCAACTGTGTAACTCTAAAAACTTCTCAAATAATTTCCCTGCCCTCAATTTCTTTCTTTTCCATTTCATCTTGTATAGTAGCTAAGTGATCTTCAAGATGATATTTAACATCTATACACCTCAATTTTCTTATGTGTAAATTAGAGATAATACTACCTAGTTTTGATAGATATTTCAAGTATTTAATGAATTCTGAGGGAGCTCTGGTAGCATAATGCCTAAGGCACTTGACTGCTAGCCAGAAGCCTGGAGGTTCAAAGCCACCAGCCACTCCTCGGAAGGAAGATGGGGCAATCTACTTCCATAGTGATACTGCCTCGGAAACCCAAGGAGGGGTCACTATGAGTCGGGTCCGACTCGACAGCACATAACAACAACAACAACAATGAATTATGAGAGACTTTATAGTCCCAATATACCAGCAATTAATGCTTAACATATAATAATAATTGATATATACTATTACTACAAATTTGGAAGAAAGACCAGGCAATCCACTTTCATAGCGATACTGCCTCGGAAACCCAAGAAGGGGTTGCTGTGAGTCAGAACCGACTCGATGGCAGTTGAGTTTGGTATTACTACAAAACCACCATTCACAGCACCCAGCAGTGTCTAATAGTTATTAAGTGAAATGTTTGTGAAGGGAAGGAGGGAGGGAAAGTGAAAGAAATATGTAAGATTAATTCACCTAAATTACCTTTGGATCAAATCAACACTCTGTTTAAGAATCTATGACCCTCTGCTGCCAACTACAAGGAATCTTAAACTATGTTACCTGGCTTTTTAGGCCCCCCATAAACTACTTTCCCATTGCTCAACAAGAGAAATCTTCACTTCAGTCAGATCTCCTGTTTCCCAAACAGTACTTTCTCATTCTAACTCCCCTGACCTTATTCATCCTGTTTGCTCCAGAAATAACCTATTTTCTTCTCTCCTTTTAATCTGTATCTTTACTTTTCAGTTTCAGAGAACTATACAATATGAAACATGCAAAGTAACAAACGTCTTGTCAACAGACATGGCAATAGAAAGGTCTAACCTAAGAGGTACTGAGGAAGGAGTTGCAAGATGTGTACTGACATCAATGTAGGGGAAATGATGTGATGAAAAACAAAAATAAAATACAAACGAGGGTGACAAAAAATGTTGATTTATGAAAAAAGCATGTGTAGGGCTATAAATGTTGGAAGTTTTTTCTTTGGTTTATAGCAAGAAAGAGGCATGCAGGGAGAAAAGGATAAAGATAATGGTGCTTACGGTTTTCCAATGGTGACAGTGATGCAATACTAACATAAAGATAAGATTTAACAGTAGGAAGATAATGTATTCTAAGAGTGAAAACTCACTGCCATTCAAGTCAATTCCAACTCACAGTGACCCTGTAGGACAGAGTAGAACTGCCACGTAGATTTTCCAAGGACATTAATCTTTATAGAAGCAGATTGTCACATCTTTCTCCTGTGGAGCAGCTGGTGGGTTCAAACTGCTGACCTTTTGGTTAGCAGCCAAGCACTTAACTACTGTACCACCAGGGCTGAAAACAACATAGAAAAGCAAGGTAGCCAAAGAGTGAGGAAAAGCAAAAGAGTATATACACATACAGAGCAAAAACAGATGTTCATAGGAAGTAAATAAAAGATGGTCAGCAACATTAAAAGAAGGTAGTAAGATAATAAATGGTGAAAGAGCTGCCAGAAGTTTATGAAATGAGAACTGAGAGAAGTCAGAGTTCACTGGAGTTCTTCTAGGAGATCATCAGTGAATTCTGAGCAAAAAGACTCAATGGACTGGTCAGGATGGGGACCAGATGGCAAAAATTTAAAAACAAAAAAGAGCTAGTGGTTAAGAGATAAAACTAATGGGGATAAACCATCTCAATTATACCTTATGCATTTTACGTAATTATACTAAGGCTTGCCTGCATACAGTTATTTTTTTTTTTTTTTTTTTAACCATTCAGAGGAATATTGATAAGACAACATGCTCACCTCATGGTGTATTCGCTGATAAACTTTTTGTTCATTGTCTAATACTACAAAAGATTCAGAGGGTGCCGCATCCCCATTGAAAATGAAGCTTAAATCCCCTCGTTGGCACTTCATGTCAGTAAAGTCTATGAGAGTTGTGTCAAGCCTGTGAAAAATGGTAGATGAGAAACTCTGGCAAAATTCTGATAAAACTCCATTAATAATTTTAAAAGGTTTGTTCCTTCTAAACTCAAAACAAGATGCTAACACCATATGTCAAATATAAAGTAAAAGCTAAATTTAAAATATTCTGTTAAAAAACATCAAAAGAATATTTAAATGTATTCTTCCATTTTTACCTATATTTCACTTTTCTGCATATATACTTCATTAGCATAGCAAGAAAAAAAGTTTCCTGATAACTGAGTTCCTTCTAAACTCAAAACAAGATGCCAATACCATATGTCAAATTTAAAGTAAAAGTTCAATTTAAAATATTCTGTTAAAAAAACATCAAAAGAATATTTAAATGTATTCTTCCATTTTTAACTATATTTCACTTTTATGGATATATATTTCATTAGCATAGCAAGAAAAAAAGTTCCCCATAACTGAAGTATGCTATTTTCTTTACTATAGCTACTCAATAAGTTACTTCAGTAGGAAAGCAACCCTATTTAACACTCTTTAATCCCTTTACTGGAGCTCTAGTAGTGTAGTGCCTAAGGCACTTGACTGCTAACTAGAAGGCTGGTGGGTTTGAACCACTCCTCAGAAGGAAGGTTGGGCAATCTACTTCCGTAGTGATACTGTCTCAGAAACCCAAGAAGGGGTCACTATGAGTTGGGTCGACCCGAGGGCAAATAACAACAATAACAACAATCCCTTTACTATATCTTGATAGCTCAGTGATACATAACAGGGTACTGCAATGCATGGACCACATTCTCGGATTTAGAACTGCCCTTTTGATCCAAGCCTTGGGCCTAACATTCAGCACCAAATCTAGTATCATCTTTCAACTTGACAAACCGTTTAACCTATTCCAAATTCTATTTGACTTCCCAGAATCAGACCAGCATTCTCTTTCCAGCCAACATCTCTACAGTCTGAAAACCTTATGGATTATGCCTATGCCAGATACTCATGGATTCACATACTTGTGTGTTTATTGTTCTCTTTGCTAATATGCTATAATTTGGGAGAATGCTGAAATGTTTAACAAGTTCACCAGTCCCTGAAATGCTTCGATGTTATCACCAGATCAGGATCACCTTAACTAACTGGCTGCTCAAAGCACATAGTGCTGAGTTCAAGAAACTGGGTGGCCCAGCTGTCAGATACTGATCACACTTCAGAAAGTTCCTTTCTGGCTCTGTGAAAGATCCACCCTAGTTTCTAATGCAACTACAAGAACTCATTACTTTGCAGGTTTTTTCAGTTCTCATGATGGACAAGGGCATTCTTGGATTCCTTACACAGGAAAAAATGAGAAATAGAACATATCTCACATGCTAGAGTTACATTATAATTTATCATCAAAACAACTAACTTTTAAGAGTGAAGGTGATACTATGCATAATTTTACCAGGACAATAGTGATAAACCTGAGAAATATGTTTACCCTATGGATAAGAAGCTCTTTTCGAAGCCATATAATGTACATATATACCACTTCAAAATGAAAAGCAGCTCATTGACTCCTATAAGGGTGGCCCTACCTGCTGCCTTTCAGCTAAATGCTAGCTCCTGGTGTACTCCCCGTGGCATGATACCTGTGGCTGATGCCTGTGGCCTGTGGCTTGTGCCTGTGACCTAAGAGGAAATAATGCCATTAAAGGAGGGCTCATTCCCTATCTCTACTAATATGTGGGCTTCTGATATTACCAAAAAGAATAGATCATTTTATATACTAGTAGCCTATTTGGGCTCCAAGCTTCAGCTACTTAGGAATTCTATGCTCTACATAAAAGAAGAAATGGGCCATAACCATTTTTTGCCTCCATTCCCTTCTCGTCCATCCTTGGTGAGAGTAGTGGTGGGTTGTGAGGGGTGAAAGAAAGGTGGGAATAGTGAGGAAAGAGATGCACAGAGAGACAGAAACAAAGACAGATAAAGACAGACTGACATAGTAACATTAGAGCTTCCAGATCTAACCAAACTTAAAATCACTCAAAGAAACTTCTCAATTATAGGAATTAATATAGTCATTTTTATTTCTCTGAGTTTTGATAATTTGTAATTGAAAGAAGATTATCTAATACAGTTTCTGCAATGTCTCTGACATATTAAATGGTCTAGTAAGGTATACCACTTATGCCTTATAAAATAATTTATCAGGATGGTATTCTAATATCATAAGCAGTCTTTAGCTCTAAGCCTAAGAGACAAAATATTTTTAATTTTTACTAAGCAATTGGCCATGAAGATCAAAAAGTTCTTCATACAAATGGAAAGATTTAAATAAAAAATATCCCTTTTGAGACAAAAGCTTGAAAAATGTCAAGGAACACTGAAAAGGGAAATACAGCCTTCACTTAAGATAAGAAAAACCCACTGCCATTGAGTCAATTCCAACTCAAAGCAACCCCCACTGGGTTTCTAAGGCTATAAATCTTTACAGAAGTAGACTGCCTCATCTTCCTCCCATGGGCAGCTGGTAGGTTTGAACCACTGACCTTCTAGTTAGCAGCCAAATGCCTTACCCACTGTGCCAGCAGAGCTTTTGAGATAGGAAAAGCCTATCTCAAAAGTTCTCAAAGTTCACAATGAATATTTCAGTCAATGGCTACTATCACTGTCTCATAATTATTATTAAAAATGAAAATATTCACACTAGTACTCTCAACAATAATGTTGTTCACACTTTCCTATCTGTACTCAAGTATTAATCTTCTCCTTGACACCTCAGAATATACACTAAATGATCATATGGCTGACATGAGATAAAAGTAAACTTTAATGATTTCTCATCTTCATCCTCAGCCGACAGGAGGCCCAGGTCTGAGTGCCTTGCTAAATTACAGTAGTTCCTCCTTAATCTAAATTCCCTTATACAATTATTCTCCCCTAGGCTCTTACTGTTATGTCCCTGTTTTTTATGGGGTTTCGTTATCTATGATTTTTATTCAATTTGATCAGATCATTTAATTTTCAAAGCCATGTATAAATGTGAAATCATTTTTTAAAAGAAAGAACTTTAGGTTAAATAAAACCCAAAGCTAACATCAAAGAGAATGAAAATTAACCTTTTTAAAAAATAACGCATAGAATATATTATTTTTTCATTCTCCAAAATTATCTACCTTTGGCAAACCAGGGCTTTGAACCAGTTCACTCTGGTTCACCTACCTGCTGAGAATTTGCAATTCCACATCAGACATACGAATAAGAATCTACATTTAGACAAGATCTCTAGGTGATTCTTAGATATACATCAATGACAATATAGGAATCACCCTGGGATCTTGTAAAAATGTAAATTCTAAGCCAGTACATCTGAGATGGAAATGCAAATTCTCAGCAGGGAGTCAAAACAGAATGCACTGGTTGGAAGGCCTGTGACAAACACCTATATTAATGGCTTTAATGAAATCATGATATATCACTATCAACAGACTACTGGATTAAGTTTACATCCTTATCAAATTCTTCCCTACTTAATTTTCTAATGTTTCTTTCTTCACTTTCCATATTTTCCATAATATACAAGAATTATATGTCCACAAGCACTTTCATAAAGAGAAATACTTGAAGAGGTTATTTTCAAAAACAAAAACCCAGAAACTTCTACCTTAATCAAATTCTACGGTGTAAGGATGATTATCCTAGAACTTGCTTCCAACTAAAAGTTATCACTGCTGTAATTCAACATATTCCATAATCAATCTTCTCATAAATAGTTGATTTTTTAAAATTTCTGCCTTGTGACATGGTGAAAAGAAAATTGACTAGAAGTCAGAAGTCCTGGCTCAACCACTGATTTCCAATATGCTTTTGTAAAAACTCATTCTCTTCTCTGAGCTTTCTCATCTATAAAATGAAGAATTTATATGAGATAATCTTTCAAGTTAGTTCCAGTTCTATAGCCTGACATAACCAAAATAAAATTCAGGAGATATATATAGCTATAGATAAACAAATTATATATATATAATTTATAATAATAATAAAACATTATTGGCATAGTCACTCACATTATACATATTTTACATATATAATTGTAAATATACTAATAAAAGCTAAACATAAAAATAAAAATAACTTTAGTTTTATGTATTTCACTATACATAAATTATACTTCAATAAAATGCATTTTAAAAAAAAGTAATATCTGAAATGAGTGAAATAAATAGGCTAATTTTACATGTGATACAAGAATCAATCTTAGCTATGAAAGAAAACAGAAGAAAATAAAAAGTGCTCATTAAAATGGATAGAATATGAAATAAATATATGAGTGGATGCACAGATGGATGAATATAGAAGAGAAGAAGAGTATGGGAGAAGGAGGAAAAAAACAATAAGAGGTAGGTTTTCCCAAATGTCCCTTATTCCTTCATAAGTGCAGGATCAGGGATGTGTCCACCTTAAGTCTTACTGATTATATACATTAATTTTCACTGTTTGGCTTCTACATAGTCTGTAGTTGAGTATCATTGCTTTAGTCTAAATTCTATACCTTTAGTTCCTAATCTGCAGTGTGTGTCAAATGAGGTAATATATTGTGAGTGCACATATTACAGCATTTCTTAATTATAAAACACTTCATCCAAAAGTAAGCTATTACAGAAAAAAAGTTTCCTCTTAATCTCAATTTTCTGTTACTCAGAGAAGAATCAAATCATCTTACCTGATACTGATACCTTGTTTGTATATTTTACATGCATCAGAAGGCAGAATTCGGGAAAGTAAAGGCACTGTATTTTTAAAAAGAAAAGGTGAAAAAATAACTACTTAAAGTTCTGAGAAATTACTAACTTATAATAAAGAACAGTAACATACACATTTCACAAATTCATCAGAATTGTAATAATTTCACTTAACACAGTATTTTTCCAATTAAACTGTAACTTCAAATAACTAATTGCTGTATAGTTAATGTGTCTCCCTCTCCCCTGGCCTCACCACATACAAAGTAAGAGTCAATATAAGGCCATCCTTGGCCTTTTTGTGGGATATTATTATTATATTGTAATATTGCAGGATATTATTATAGATGAGAGAACAATGCCTTCTAGTTAACAAAAATTTCCTGAATAATTAACTACATGGACCTGGGTCCTATCTGAACGTTAAAATACAATTTAACAAAATGGCAGGAAAGTAGTATATGAAATAGAGTACATTTTTTGAAGCTCAACAGTCAAATTGGAGTTCAAATCCCATATATGTGAACTTAGTTACTTAAGCTTTCTACGCTGCAAGTTTTGAAATGTGTAAAATGTTAATCTTACTATTTAACTCTAGATTTCTATATAATGTCACTTGTTACACTTCATATCCATATCACAAGCTACATTTTAATAATAGTTTTTTATTATTTGTTGTCTTATGTTTTGGAGAATGTGAGTTATTCTACAGATGAAAAAATCTGCATAACAGGTTTTAATAAACTACCATGTCCCAAAAAACTTTTTAAAATGTAAAGCTCAGAATTCTTGGAATTAAGATGTCACCTATACAGGGGTATGTATGAATATATGTGTGCATGTTTATGAGCAACTCTAAAATATATTTTATATTATCTCTTGCAAAACTCAGTGTTTCAAAAATGGTGGTAGAAAATTAACTTGAGAAAAAATCAAAGACTTTAGAATTAAAGGCTAATTTTTTAGTTAACATTTTCAATAGAGTCAGTATTTTCTAATTAACATTAAATGTATACCAAATCATCAATGCATATTTTAGATCCTTCAAAACAATCCAAACTCACTGCCATCAATTCTGGCTCATGGTGACCCCATGTGTTACAGAACTGCTTCATAGGGTTTTCTTGGCTGTAATCTTCACAGAAGGAGCTCTGCTAGTGTAGTGCCTAAGGCATCTGACTGCTAACCAGAAGGCTGGTGGTTCAAACCCACCAGCCACTCCTCAGAAAGATGACTGGGCAATCTACTTCGACAGTGATATCACCTCGAAAACTGAAAAGAGGGGTCGCTATGAGTTGGATCCGACTACAAGGCAGTGACTTTGATTTTTTGAAATCCTTACGGAAGCAGACTGCCAGGCTTTTCTTCTGAGGCATTACTTGGTAGATTCTAATCACCAACCTTTAGTTTAGATTCTTAGAAATCATTTAAGCCAAAGCAATTTCCACCCCTAGAAATTACTAGAACTATATCTTATTGTACAAAACAAGAAAAATGCAATGCTAGGAGGGAATATCAACCAAGAGTGGTCCTAGTTAAAGAACATAAGGAATCATTCCTTAAAAGATATAACAGAAGCTGGGATGAGCAACAGGGATGCAAAACTACATAAATGACCAAAGCTATTCCTCCTTACTACCTGAGACCCGGTTTTCCTATAAAGTATTTGGTATAAATGTTGTTGTTGTTGTTATGTGCCGTCAAGTTGGACCCGACTCACAACGACCCCTCCTTGCATTTCCAAGGCAGTATCACTATGGAAGTAGATCGCCCAACCTTCCTTCCAAGGAGTGGCTGATGGGTTTGAACCACAAGCCTTCTGGTTAGCAGTCAAGTGCCTTAGGCACTATGCTACCAGAGCTCCTTTGGTATAAAAAGCAAGAACCAAAAATGATTAAAGGCAATAGTTCAACAATTTAATGTAATTTATTAGATCTTGTGAAGTGGTTCTAATAACCTAAAAACTAAAATTCAGAATCATATACCAATACACAATAAAAAATCAGAGAAGGACAAAGAGGGGAACACAGAGAGAAGAAAAGAAATAGGGAAGTAAGACGTAAAAGCTAAGAAAAAAAAGGAAAGAAAACAGATCTTCACTGAGCAAAAAAAAGATTTCTCCTAGATTTGAATTCATTCCAAAATACATCAACTTATATTTTTCCAATTCGGTAATGACTGCTTCCTTACCCATGCAAATTAATCAGCTGAGTACTCTGTATCTTAAGTTATCTTAGCACAATCTGAGAATTTAAGACACTACTCCCAAGATAGCACAATTCTCTGAACTAAACAATGAAGAGTCGCCTATATTTTAATTTTGATTTTGTTACCACTTACTCCTTGATCTTAAAAAGAATTTCTTAGCTTAATGTTTTCCATCTATAATATGCAAATAACAGTCCTACATACAAGAGGATAAATTCTAAAAGGATAAAAAGATATAAAAATTATTGTGCTTTTAAGTGGAAATGAGCTATTATGCGTAACACTAAATTTGAGGTTGTTGTTGTTGTTGTTGTTGTTATGTGCCGTCGAGTCGGCCCCGACTCATAGCGACCCCTCCTTGGGTTTCCGAGGCAGTATCACTACAGAAGTAGGATTGCCCAACCTTCCTTCCTAGGAGTGGCTGAAATTTGAGGTAGTGTTTGAAATATCATAAATTATTTAACTTTACAGTATGTAACAGGGTTCCTTCAAAAACATGATTTCATTTCACCCACATTAAAACAAAAATCTGTATTAAATGGGGAAGTCATTATTATACATTATTATACTCACCTTAAAAAAAAAAAACAACCAATTGCCAGGAAAGAGATAGGATTTGTCTTCTCAAATAGTTAAGAAACAGAACTCTGATTATAACTCAAAGCTTTTCTATACCTAAAAACCCAGAGTGGGATAGTTTAGTTGTTGTCAGACACTAAGACAAGCCATTTTCAGTAGAAGACCAACTGTAAGAACATGAAAAAGAGAAGAGTTGATATTGTTATGTTATCTGCCCTCGAGTCTGACCCGACTCATAGAGACCCCTCCTTGGAAACGACTCATAGAGACCCCTCCTTGGGTTTCCGAAGCGGTATCACTACAGAAGTAGATTGCCCAACCTTCTTTCTGAGGAGTGGCTTTGAACACCAGCCTTGTGGTTAGCAGTCAAGTGCCTTAGGCACTATGCTACCAGAGCTCCCAAGAAAGAAAAGTACTACCTATAAATTAAACCTACCCTGGAGCTTAATATACTTAGCTCCCTCCCTGATTTCTAGTTTGTTTTGTTGTTTTTATTTTTATTTTGGTTTTAAATATTAGGGACCTTAACAAAAGAAAGAAAACAAATATGCCCAAACTTTCAGAAAAAAAGCTTGGTAATGAAATCTAATAATAAAGATTATTCACTGTTTTTTCTTTTTCTTTTTGAATCCAAAGTATCTAGGCTAAACATAAAAAATGAGTTTTAATTTTTTAACATTATATATGACATCTCACCAAAAGACACTGATAGTTTTGGTTTTATTTCACTAAAATTCTTTATCAGGGACTTCCGGTAAGATGGAGGAACAGGCACACAAGCAACACAGACCCTCTTCAACAAAGAAAAGAAAAACTGATTGACAGAGATACAGAAGAGAATCCCGGAGCCCTGAGCTTTGCAAGGAACTATACAGAAGTAGATTAGGAGCTCTGGTAGCTTAGTGCCTAAGGCACTTGACTGCTAACCAGAAGGCTGGCAGTTCAAACCCACGAGCCACTCCTCGAAAGGAAGATGAAGCAATCTACTTCCATAGTGATACTGCCTCGGAAACCCAAGGAGGGGTCACTATGAGTCGGGTCCAACTCGACAGCACGTAACAACAACAACAACATACAGAAGTGGATTAGGCACCAACTAGTGGAAAAACCTGAAGGAAAACAGTGAATACAGAGACGCTTGGAGCTGCGGGCTATCAGCTACTTCGAAGGGATCAAGAGCCTTAGTATTTTCAAGTGGTGTTATTTGTTGTTATTATATACCCTCGAGTAGGCCCGACTCACAGCGACCCCTTCTTGGGTTTCCGAGGTGTTATCACTAAGGAAGGAGCTCTGGTAGCATAGTGGCTAAAGCACTTGACTGCTAACCAGAAGGCTGGCGGTTCAAACCCACCAGCCACTCCTCGGAAGGAAGGTTGGG